GACGCAGTTCGAAGTTCCCATGAAAGGGAACGTCTCAGGTTACATTATATTATATTATATTCTTTATTAGATTCATTAGGTCAAAAAAATTGAAATATTATTAAAATTTAAAATAGCTGTTTTCTGTGCAAATACACTTTGAAATATAATTTATTTATTTGATTCAAAGCTGAATTTTCAGCATCATTACTCCAGTCTTCAGTGTCACATGATCTTCAGAAATAATTTTTGTCAAAACTGTGATACATTTTATTTTTCAGGATTCACAGATGAATAGAATTTTCAAGAGAACAGCATTTATGTGAAATAGAAATTGTCTGTAACATTACTGCCACTTTTGATCAATTTAATGTGTCCTTGCTGAATAAAAGCATTAATTTCTAACTAATTAAAAGTACATAAAACTTTTAAATGCTAGTGTGTTTACAGAACAAATGTATCATGAGTTTGAGCATGCATATGAATGCCATACAGTTAGACGACAGACTCATCGCAGTTTTGCATCAGTTTTTCTAGTTTAAAGCTGATGAACATGTCGAGATGTTTTACTCATTCGGTTCAGGAGCTTCTCATGTTCAGAACACTGGCTGATACGGGCCACGTTTAACAGCTCAGAAAAAGGTCAGATTGAAGCAGAAAATCACAGTTGAAGAGTAGGTGCAGTCATTCACCACATGTTTCAGCAGAGCCTCTAAACGCTGACTGCTCGGGTTTACATGATTGCAATGCATAAGGAAGCTCGAACTTGACATTGTAATTTCATATTGCATACAAACAATATAACTTTACCCTGCTTTGCACAGACTCAAGCAGGGGCCAGAATTGACTTTTTCACCAATCCTGCCAACAGTGGGTGAAGTGAGATAAAGTGCATTATTTTTTCCATTTTTCTTTCACTGAAAATATATTTTCAGTGCATATAACCGTGAGCTAATTTAGATGGGGTTATTTAGCTGTTGTTCACTTCTTGAGGTCATTGCATCATACAAAATGAGTATGTCTTTGGCTTTTTGTGAAAATGCACCTGATAATGTGAGGAACTTATGTGTTACATGGGAGAAAAAAACATAAGGCATCCTGCAGTTTCCATTGCACATCATGACAGAATTTCATTAGTAGATGGTTTTTATGTCTTTACTTTTAATCGTGCACATCTCTGACTTCAACGATTAGCTTTTTTAACAGTTCAGTGTGATATTGCAGTTTCTGGCTAATTGGCAAAGACATTTTGGCACTTTATTGAGATCCTGCGTCTGAATACTTCTTGTTGTTCCAGAGAGATCTGCTGTTTGGTCGATCTCTGACTCTTAAAGCGTCCGTTGATTTGTTTTTCTGTTTTAGGATAATGGATATTGATTAATTCAATAAATGATAGTCTTCCAGCACTGAGTGTATGGTACTGACCCGCTGAATCAGGGGAACTGGATTTATTTATGCACTCCATATGGAAATCTGCTGTGCTTATGTATGAAAAATTGTAATGAATCTACTGAAGCTGATGCAAATGGTTTTTGCATGTGTATCTGTTGCATATGCATGTGGTCACATATTTTATTTTAAAATAAATGTATAGGTTATATTTATTATATAAGTATCGTTTATTTAAAAAATATTTTATTTTATTTTAAAACAAGTATATAAAGTTATATCTATTATGTAAGTGTCATTTATTACAAACAACAACAAAAACTCTGTTAGTTCTGAACTAAACATTGTCTTTAGGAATGTGAATACTAAGTAATTGAAGGATTTTGGTTCAGATTCTGATTTACCCTTTGCAATTTCAGTGCCTTAATGATGAAATTAGATTTATTTTTATTTTTTTAAGAAGAAGAATTAGTCAAAAATGCAGGACTTTTCATTGAACTGTGAAGTCATTATTAATTAATAATGACTTCACATTTCAATGAAAAGTCAAGAATTAATTCAGCAAGCCATTAGACTGATTCAAACATATAACTGTGCTGCAGATGAGAGATTTGTGAGTCTTTTAGCTTGATTCTTTAAAAAGAACCAGCACATAAGAGTCATTTATTTTCTAATCGGACTAAAACTGGTTTGTTGTTGAAGCAACCAGTGAAGATAATGCAATAGAAGTTTTGAGTTTTGCATTATTTTGTCTTACTTTTTCATTGCATTCAATTAAGTCTGTAAAATTCAGATAAAATATAATTTTGTTTTCTCTGCCACTATAGATTTAATAGCTGCTCAGACATCCAAGAACCACTAACAGAACTGATAACATAAAATCGTTTTTTTAAAACAAACTTTTACAAGAACAATCCATCATTCTCAGCCATAATGAAAACACAAATCCTGAGATTTTCCCAGGAGTAACTCATTACCAGATGATATCACAGATACTGACGTTGCGTGGGAATTTAAGACCTGTTTTGGAGGGAGGTGCGCAGAGGTTAAAGAGGACAGCAGATAGAGAGAGAGAGAAGACGAGTCAATAATTGTTGGCAAGTTTTATTTCTCTGATTTACAGCGGAGCTCTGCAGATCACTGGAGCAGCGAGACGAGGATTTTAAAGATGAGGAAGGAGCGAAAGGAAAGCAAGCTGTTACTAGGCAACAGGAAGTCAACACCCTCCATCAGATATCATTTATTCTGATTTAGCTCTCAGCATCTTTCAATCATAAAACGGGAGGAGGAAATATGGAGAGAAGAATGGATAACTCTTCACCTTTTCTTGGAGGCACAATAATTCTTCATTCCCCTGTGTGTCACGATGGGTCGTTCGGGCTCAGAGGTCGCGCCATCAGAACTAATGAGGTCCAAATCAATGTCTGCAGGTGCTAATGTGCGGTCTTGCGTCATTGCGGCTTACAGCTTCTGCTCACAGACTTACTAGGAGTTTAAATCAGCATTAAAAATTCAAGGAAAGTGAATGAGGAGGCTGTCAAACTCTAGAAATGACAAAGTCAGTGGGTTTAAGTGAATGTGGCTTCAGTGGCTTTGTTGTAAGGGGTGTGTCTTCAAACTGTTGGTTGGTTTAAGTGGGTGTGGCTTCAGTTTGAAGGTTAGTTTAAGTGTGCGAGGCTTCGAACAGTGGCTTTGTGTTAAAGGGGTGTGTCTTCAAACTTTTGGTTGGTTTAAGTGGGTGTGGCTTCAGTTTGTAGGTTAGTTTAAGTGGGCGAGGCTTCGAACAGTGGGTTTGTGTTAAAGGGGTGTGTCTTCAAACTTTTGGTTGGTTTAAGTGGGTGTGGCTTCAGTCTGTAGGTTAGTTTAAGTGGGCGAGGCTTCGAACAGTGGGTTTGTGTTAAAGGGGTGTGGTTTCAAACTTTTGGTTGTTTTAATTGGGTGTGGCTTCCAGCTGGGGTGATTTTTTAGTGGGCGTGGCTTCAAATCATGGGTTGTTTATATGGGTGTGGCTTCAAATGGGGGGTGTGTTTTAGTCAGTGGGTTGGTTTAAGTGGGTGTGGCTTTAATCAGTGGGAATTATAGTGGTCTATCCCCAGTAAACAATGCTATAGTATTAATAATATAATATCATAATTTTAATTAATATTTAATGTTTGCCTTTTTATATTATACATACTTTATATATACTATATATACTTATATCAGTTTTCATATATATACTATATATTTTATATCAGTTTTCATTTTAATTTTAGCCTATTTTTTGTTATGTACTTTCATTTTTTTATATTTCTGTATAGCTTTAATATAATTTTATTTCAGTTTTAGTTTTAGTCATTTTACTACTTCAACTAATTTATTTCACCTAGTTGTCAAGGCAACATTTAAAGTTCTTTTAATTTTTTAACTTTTTCGTATTTATATATTTTTATATATATTTATGTATTAATTTGTATTTTTTATTTTATTTCAACTTTATTTTAATTACAAAAAAATATATATATTGTGTGTGTGTGTGTGTGTGTAAGCCCTGCAGGCCTGCCGTTATTTTTAGTCTATGTCTCTCTTCTTTCTTCTCCTATCTCTTTTTCTCTCTTAAATCTTTCTTTAATGAATCTCCTCTAACAGTCTGCAATTTCCTGCTCTGCCCTGCGGCTCAACTCATGACAGATCTGTGTTGCGCTGTCTGTTCATTTTGACGATATAAGATGGATCATTAAGCTCATTTCATATGTGCATACAGTATCTCATATTAATAGTTTACATTTGTGACACATCCATAGTTTTTCCATATGATAAAGATGCTACAATGCCTTAGTCAGACGTTCAAAAATGTTTTTAGTTTGTGCTTTGCAGAAAGCCATGTTCCTTATCAGTATTTCCAGTAATAATATTTCCGTGCGGTACAGAATCATCTGTGGGGCATTTAGGAAATGAATGCAGTTTGTATTCGCTTTTTGTTGTTGTTTTAATGTTGTTGCTCAAGGGAAGAAAATTCACAGGAATCTGATATGAAATATACATTATTATGGGTGTTCGGCTGCTCACACGTGTGTATATGACTGAATCTGACATCAGTCTTTCTCTCTTTCAGGCATTTCTCATGTCTCTCATCCAAGTACATGTGTCCCGGTGTTCCCGCGGTGATGAGTAACCTGCTTGCCAACATCAACGCCTACTTCGCTCACACAACAACGGCAAACACCAACATCTCCGCCTCCGACCGATTCGCAGCATCCAACTTTGGGGTTTGTCACTCTCACTGCTGATGGATAGATAAATGGATAGATGGATAGATGGATGGATGGATGGATGGATGGATAGATAGATAGATAGATAGATAGATAGATAGATAGATATATGGTTGATAGATAGATGGAAAAATAGATGGATAGATGGATAGATATATGGATGGATAGATAAATGGATAGGTATATGGATGATGGATGGATAGATAGATAGATGGATGGATGGATGGATGGATAGATGAACGAATAGATAGATAGATAGATAGATAGATAGATGGATAGATAGATAGATGGTTGATAGATAGACGGAAGAATAGATGGATAGATGGATAGATATATGGATGGATAGATAGATAAATGGATAGGTATATGGATGATGGATGGATAGTTATATGAATGGATAGATGGATGGATAGATGAACGAATAGATAGATAGATAGATAGATAGATGGATGGATGGATGGATGGATGGATGGATGGACAGACGGACGGACGGACAGATAGATAGATAGATGGTTGATAGATAGACGGAAGAATAGATGGATAGATGGATAGATATATGGATGGATAGATAGATAAATGGATAGGTATATGGATGATGGATGGATGGATATATGAATGGATAGATGGATGGATAGATGAACGAATAGATAGATAGATAGATAGATAGATAGATGGATGGATAGATAGACAGACAGACAGACAGACAGACAGACAGATAGATAGATAGATAGATAGATAGATAGATAGATAGAAATAGTTGGATGGACAGATGGATTATTTCATGAATGCAAAGCAGATTTTTTTGAATGAATGGATTAATTATTGAATGATGGATGTATGGCTGGCTGATTGCATGAATGATAAGATGTATTGATTGTTAAATTGATGAAAGCATTGAACAACAAGCTGATGAATGGATGAACGAGCAGACCTACAGTAGCATGATTGCATGAGTGAATCAATGGATGATGTGCAGATGATTTCATGAATGCTTCAATAAATAGATGGATGACACGATGCAGCGCTGATCTGTTTCTGTGACTTTGTTTCTTCCGCAGAGAGAGAAGTTCGTCAAACTCTTGGATCAGCTTCACAACTCTCTGCGCATCGACCTCTCCAAGTATCGGGTGAGTAAAGCAGCCAAACGCCGCAGCACACGCACGATCCAGATGTATTTTCTATTTCAGAGACATCAGAAAGAAAAACACTCATCTATTATTCATCGCCATGGAGATAATTTTACCTCTCCATCGCTTTTACTGATCCCCTACCTTAATTTACAATGACATTCAAACGCTTTACGAACTCTTCACAGAACAGAAGGTCCATTTGTTCGCACGCAAAGCAACGATTTGAGAAAGTTGCAAAGATTGTTCTCGACTCCCGCTGCCCTTCTTGCTTTTATACTAATTGCGAAGTCTCTCTAAATACATAACGAGAGAAACGTCTCAGTCAGACGCAAGTTTCTTCTGAGAGGACGCTTTCACAGTCAGATCGTGTATGACTCTCGAGAAGACGAGTGGTCCGACTGTATCTCAGTGTGAGAGCTAGAAAGCATTGACAGGGTGCTCACACACACACACACACACACACACACTCGACTGGCAGGCATCCAGGGAATTCATTGGCTGTTACCTGCTCCTATCCAGCCGTCAGCTTCCAGGCAACACGTCCTGACTGTAATACACTCTGGATCTGCTGGGCTCTGTGTATTTGACTGTAATGAAATTCTGAAGCAAACTGAGTTTGGTTTCTCTCACAGCTCATGTGGATTTGGCCGAGGCAGGTTTTGTTCTTCCAGAGTGCTTTAACGCCTCTGCTTTATTAGATGACTTTCCTCCTGTGTTGTCTACATCATCTGTGTTCAATAAACCTCAGGCAGACTTCTCTCCTCGCCACTCGTACAGGATTATACGTTTCTCCAGACGCCACCGAACTCAAGCGCTAGACATTTCTGCTCAATCTGGCCCCGTTCCACATGCTTTCAAAACAACAACTCTATCATAGCCGAAAAACAGATCTATCTAGACTTGAAGTGCAACAGTTTATTTTAACCGTCTGTCTGAAATCAAACAAGTTTATTTACAAATATCATAACTATCATCCAAAAGTTTGAGGTCTTTAAGATTTTTAATGCTTATGCTCACAAAAGCTGCATGTATTTGCTCAAAAATACAGTAAAAACAGTAAAAATGTGAAATATTATTTCAATTTAAAATAGCTGTTTTCTATGTGAATATATGTTAAAATATAATTTATTTCTGTGATGCGCAGCTGTATTTTCAGCATCATTACTCCAGTCTTCAGTGTCACATGATCTTCAGAAATCATTCTAATATGCTGATTTGCTGCTCAAGAAACATTTCTGATTATTATCCATGTTGAAAACAGTTGTGCTGCACAATATTTTTGTAGAAAACCTTGATACATTTTATTTTTCAGTATTCACAGATGAATAGAAAGCTAAAATGATCCTGAATGTGGTTGAATAAATATGATATTCACATGTTATAATACTTGTAAGTAAATTAAAATAATAATAAATTTAAAAAAATTTATTTTAATTATAGTTTTATTGTTTTGTGCATTTTGTCATTTTTAACAGTTTATATATCTATCTATCAATATATATGTATTTATGTATATTGTTTTATATTTTTTAATTTCAGATTTAGTTAGTTATTTTAGTTCAAAAAAGTAAAAAAAAATTTTTATTAAAATGAGATGTTGCCTTGGAAACTAGCTAAAATAATGCATATTATTTTATTTCAGTTAACATTTATTTTATTTCACGCAACAAAATGTTTTTTTATGGTTTTATTTTTAGTTTCAGTATTAGTTAACTAATAACCCTGGTAGACAACACAGCTGCAAATGGTATAAATTCAGAGCCCTGCACAGATCTTCAGACGTTCTGATGGTTCCTCATCAAAACCCTCTCCTGTGATTCAGACCCACTGCTGACACTCACAGTTTAATGATCTCTTACCTGAGCAATCTGTTACCGACACACCGACCTGCCTGAAGCCCAAACATATGTTTATATCTCTCTGCTTTTCTGACATTTCACATCACTCAAGAGCTTCTGCACACTTATTCGTCACCTCAAACAGCCACAGAGACTTTCAGAGTGAAGCAAAGTGTTATTTTAGTGATGTTATATGAAGTCTTTACTGGCACACTTCATTTGAGACCCCTCCGGGCTCTTTCACACTAGAGCGTTTGAAGCAGACCAGAGTGTGTTTTTATATAAACTCAAGTGGTTTGCAGTTAGTATGAAAATGATCTGTCCTTATGTGCAGAAGTAAAGCTGTGTTGGTGGCATAGAATTAGCATCTTTACATTCTCCCAATCATATTTATAACATGATGCATTTCTCAAACCTGCTTGTATCTGAATAAACTGCCTGCTGGTTGCAGCTGGCATTTGTTGCATCTTTTGCAATGCAAGACAAATGCAATAGCTGTGTTTTGGGAGTGAATCCAAAGGGACAAATGTACTCCAAAAAAACAAAAACATATAGATGAATAGATGGACATATATATGGGTGGATAAATGGATGGATAGATAGATATATGGATGGATAGCTACTGTATATGGATGGATAGATAGATATATGGATGGATAGCTACTGTATATGGATGGATAGATAGATATATGGATGGATAGCTACCCTATATGGATGGATAGATGGACAGATATATGGTTGATAAATAGATGGATGGATAGATGAATAGATGGATAAATATACGGATGGATAGATAGATAAATGAATAGATATATGGATGATGGATGGATGGATATATGGATGGATAGATGGAGAGATGTATTGATAGATAGATAGATAGATAGATAGTTGGATGTATGGATGGATGGATGGATGGATGGATAGATAGATAGATGGATAGATAGATAGATAGATAGATAGATAGACAGATAGATAGATAGATAGATAGATAGATAGATAGATAGATAGATAGATAGTTGTTATTATTATTATTATTCCAGTTTTCCAGTAAATCTCACTAAATGTGTGCTTAAAACTAGAGAAAAACAATTGGCAAATAGGGTGTAAAAATAGTTATTAAATTAAAAGTTAAAAACTGCTTCCAAATTTACTGATAAAAAATGCAGTAAAAAAAAAATGGTAACAATGTGAAATATTATTACGATTTAAAAGATCTGTTTTCGGCTCGAATGTGTTTTAAAATGTTATTTTTTTCCTGTGATACAAAGCTGAATTTCCAGCAGTTATTACTCCAGTCTTCAGTTTCACATTTATGAATAAATTGCCTGCAGGTCCAAAGAGACAGAAGAAGCAAATAAGTAAATAAATGAATGAATAAATCAGTTTTCTGTCTTGTTTCTAGTAAACCTCACTAAATGTTTTTAATTCTCTACTTAAAACTAGAAAGAAAAAAAAAACATTTGCCAACACCCTGTAGATATCTTGCTTTAATATATATAATATGTCTATATATGTGACCCTGCAGCACAAAAGCAGTGTTAAGTCGCTGGGGTATATTTGTAGCAATAGCCAACAATACATTGTATGGGTCAAAATTATCGATTTTTCTTTTATGCCAAAAATCATTAGGATATTAAGTAAAGATCATGTTCCATGAAGATATTTTGTAAATGTCCTACCGTAAATATATCAAAACTTAATGTTTGATTAGTAATATGCATTGCTAAGAACTTAATTTGGACAACTTTAAAGGTGATTTTCTCAATATTTTGATTTCAGCTTTCAGATGATGTATAAATCACAATTTCGAAAAATTGACGCAAACACTTTTGTGGCCCAAGGTCACATATATATCCTCTGAGAACAAGAGTGTTGTTTTAATTTATCTTGTTTTGAGGATGTTTAGATATTTTTAAAGAAAAATAAGACCAAAATCCAGAACTCGGGGAGGTACAAACCCCAAAAATACTGTGCGAAGTGACCTGCGGTGGCAGAGGGAGGGATGTGGAATCGAAGCGAGTCTGAAAACAGCCTAAATTGATTTGCGCGAGTCTCTGTTTTTGGTAGCTGTTGTTGACAGACAGCTCCTGCACTCCATTACTCGCTCTGAATAATTAGAGAGCTGCGGTGAAACACCAGCCAAGAATTACAGCAGCGTCCGACGCTCTGGCATCGATAAAAGCGCGCACAGGAGTCTCTCCTCATTCTTACAAAACCAAGTCACAACTATTACATAACCATCCCGGTGTGACATTTTCTAACCTGTTTCTCCGAGCGCATCTTTTGCACACGTCTGCAGCGTCCACACATGCATGCTCTTCCACTCATGCAATATACTGTGCACCTTCATGCTAGAACAAGCAGGCTCATAGCTTTACAGCCCAACAACACATTCTCTCTGTCTGTTGCTGGTTTTGCTCGGGCTGCTAAATTATGATATATTTTGTTATTGGTGCTCATGACGATGGAACACGTTTTGGTTATTACTATTACTGCATTGTGTATGCTGCATAATGCTGCAGGGTGAATGAAGATGACTCATGTTGACATGTTTTTAACCATCCATCTCTGCCAAACCTCCTCAACTTGAGTAAAAGGCCATTTGAAATATTAGCAGGTGAAGCACCCACCATCTGTAATGTTTCAAGCAGCAATTCTTTAAGACTTCCGCAATTGTGTTGATTAGAAATATAATAATTGACTCAGTAACACTATATTTAAAGACTTAAGTAAAAATAGTTTTAATGCATTAATATTCCCATGTAATGCACCTTATAATGCACTTTATAATCTCATGAATAATTGTTATAATACTTATCTATTCCTTGTTACACCTTTAGAAAGTACAGTATGATGCATTAAAACATTACAAAGAAAATCCTTCAAATATTGCAATGCATTTTTTCTTTGGTTACAATTATTTATGAAATTACAACATACATTATGAATAGCCGTATAATGCATTATACATAAAGGCTTTAAGTAAAGTGTTGCCTTTGACTCTTTTACCTAGTATTTATGTCTGCTATATGCTATTTTTATGCTTATTAGAATATTGCATTGTCAGCTTATCAACATCAGATTCTAAACTGTAAAAAATATACACCTAATTCAATTATAAAACTTCAGTTGGTACTTTTCAATTTTTAGGTATAATTGTCTGTACGAGTCATTTCAGCTCATTCTTTTTAAAAATCTTGTCTAGTTGAATCTTGTATAACTTACAAAAAATTAAGTTGAAATCGGTTAAATTATTTTGATGTGTTAAAGAAATGGAGAAAAAAAACAGATGTCAGGATTTATTGATTCTATATTTTTTAGACTTATTGATCACATCAGTTTTTGCATTGTATATTAGAATCAACTGGAATCAATCTATAGCCACAAAGATCTTAATTTGGATCTTTGTGTAATTTAAAAAGTGCAAACAACATATTTTGCCTAACTATTCCATCCTACTGAGCTAATGTGCAGTTTCCATCTTTTCATCTGTCTCTTAAACATATATATTCATCAAATCCATAGCTGCATCTATGATCTTAATCTGTTTATCTTCTTTGTTAGATATGCTTTGAAAATGACGTAGAAATGTAGAGATGATCTGATGTTAATTCTGTTTACAGGATAATTTCCCTGCTGGGAATCCAGAGAGACTCCAGGACTTGAAATCAACCGTCGACCTGCTGACGAGCATCACCTTCTTCAGGATGAAGGTACGACGCTGTCTATCACACACACACACACACACACACACAAACACTTACATATAGAGAGAATTATGCAGGCTTTTACGCTGGAATTAAAGCAGTGTGACTCAGCGCTGTGACTCACACACATTATAAAAAGCCCTCATGCATCTCATGAAAGAGAATTCTTTCAAATAAAAATATGAATGAAACCATCAGGGGTTTTTGTGACTTTCATGGGCAGTCAAAACATTGTGGTAGTTGTTATTCAGTGTGAAGGACTTCTCCAATTCTGCAGTAATTTCCTGCATTAATCAGTCAAATATATTAAACAAGAATAAAAAAATTAAAAAGCTCCTAATATAAAACTCTTTTGAAACAAATATTCCTCTATGCACAAATTAACTTAAATTAAATTAAATTAAATTAAATTAAATTAAATTTCATTTCATTTTATTACATTTCAATTTAATCATTTTATTTGATTTATAATGTTACTATTTATTTATTTATTTTGTTTGTTTATTTATTATTATTTAACTATTTTAATTTATTGAAATAATTTATCTATCTCTGAAATTAATTATTTTTTCATTTTCATATAATTTAATTTTATATTATTTCTTATTATTGTCATGACAGTTAAGCACGTTTTTTCCCCCAATTGTTCCTCTTTTCACATTCTCATTCCCACTATAATATAGTCATGGAAATCATCAGTGTCCGTTTTTTTTCTGTATAAATTCAATAGAAACATCAAGATGTATAAATGTTTTGCAATTAATGTATCAATATTTTTTCTAAATTGCAGAAATTACATTTTTACAGTATTGCAGTAAAAACTAATGTGCCTAATTGTCATGAAAATAATGTCACAATGAAAAAATACATCGCAAGAACCATAAAACTATGCTTGATTTGCTTTATGCTTATATAATGTGGAGTGAAATACGACCCTGTCGAGTTCTTGACTAGTTTTGTGTAATTCAGCCTCATGGTGAAATTCTGCTATATTCTGATCTCGTGTGTTAATGAGCTGCTAATCACAGCTTTCCTGATAACAGTCCTGCATTGAGAGACCTCAGATGTGTTTCAGTTCAGCGAGCACAGATAAAGCGGATATATATTCTCTGATTGTTTTCATGTTCCGGTTCATCAGCCGCGAATATAAAGCTGCGCTGCTTTACAGTCAGTAATGAAACATTTTTCACCGGCGCTGCAGGGTTTCAATGATTTCTCATTTGTTTGCGTGAAATAAAAAAATCTTTTGGCTCTTGAAATATGCACTGGAGTCAAATTTATTTGAGCACAATAACAAGAGCCGCTTGTTCTGGGGGTCTCCTGGCAATAAAACTGTCTTTGACATATAGCTCAGCTCTGTGTGAGAGAATATGGCCTTTTTTGAGAAGTCATAAAGAATACGCTGATTTCTCACTGTTGGGGAGCCGGGAAATATATTCAGAGCCAATGTGCCTGTAAAAACACACTACTCACAACTGTAGGGTGCAGCATTTATATATTTATATATATTACAGCAATATTCCAGGCGTTTTGTCTTCGTAGACGTCCTCTAGATGAGATCACAGCTGCCACTGGCCTCTGCTATTAGTTCACTGAGCTTGTTTTTAATATATGACCGACTATTGTAATCGCAGGTCAATAGGAGTTGTTAAAAGCCTTTATATCTGCTACAGAGAATAGACAGTGATTGATTTTTCTCAATTTCTCCTCCCAGGCTATTAAAGTTCATTTGCACAGACGTGCATGCATTTGCCATTTAGTTTTGTCAGATTTAGTCCATGCTTAGAAACACAGACATTGACAGCCGTTGGCCACAAACATACTGTACTGTATGTGTGCAATCGCAGACACAAATGTGTTTCTTTCACATGTCTGTGTCATTAAATCACGTTTTATTATTAACCCATAACCTAAACTAAACTGTGCACTCGCATTGCATTATGAATTGCATCCTGACACATTTAAAGGTGCCATAGAATGGAAAACTGTATTTACCTTGGCATAGTTTAATAATAAAAGATCTGTACATGGAAATGACATACCGTGAGCCTCAAACACCATTGTTTCCTCCTTTTTATGTAAATCTCGAGAATGCAAAAGGCCACTGAAAAACAGGCGAATCAGAACATAACACCGACTGTGACGTTACAGTCGGAATCACTAATAGTTACGCCCCCAACATTTGCATATACCCGCCCATGTTCTATTCCAGCCGTCAGCCGAACCTGCACAGCCGAAACATCAGAAGTTCTGCAGGTAATGTGAAGAAACAAGCGAGGACAACAGCGTTCTAATAAAATAACGCGAGCCACTAAAGGGACATGGTTAGCTGCTTGCTAGCGGTAGCCTGTTACATTACAGTACATTAGATTTCACTTACCACATAAACGAGAGAAGAGTAAGGAGAGATGACTGAGGATGATGGCGAGTGATTTACAGATCCTGAGCACCACTGACAAGCATCTGATCTTGTAAAATGTGTGGTAAGTACTGCCGCTGTAGTTTACACAGAGCACGTGCGATCGCAAATCTCGAAAGTGAAAGTAAAAAGTGATCATGCATTCGAAAGCAGTTTCAATGCCCCGCATATTAATAG